TGTGGATTTGCAGTTTTGCATCCTTACAGCTTCCAATTGCAAACCTTCCCCCACAGTGGATTGAGTAATTTCCTCCTTTCTTGGGATGGGGGTAGGGAGCTGGGTTCTTTTGTGTTGTTTGTTTTTTTTTTTAAAAAAACAAAACCCTACACATCTTCAAATAAAACTTTCTTCATGCTCTTTTTGTAGCAACAGTTCTTAACATCCTTACGCCCTTGGAAAGATGTGGAGTACTGGGCCTGCATGATGCCTGTACAGCAGAAAGAACAATTGGTCCTTAAATGAATGATAGCACATACAAACTAGGTCCCTGGTAGCAAATAAAAGTATGCTAGCTGCACTGGAGCAAAGGTCTCAATAATAAATGTGCTGATTCCTGATTGCTGAACCTGGGGCTTTTTTTTTTAAGATCACTTGTTATGGGATGGTTGAGCCATGACTTCCTTGGGATGAAGGGTTCTGCTATTATAGGGATTCCAAATGAGATGGATTTGGGCAATGATTGAGGGCGACTCTGTAATGCTATTGTAACTACTACTTTAGAACTACTGCTTGTGGCAGAGTTTTCATTATTGCCTTCCCTGCTAGCTGTGGCTTTCTTTGGTTTTGTTTTTGTACTGTTTGTTTTGTTTTTTATGGCACCTGTTTGACTTCTGATTGCTGCATAGGAGCCTGGTTCCTTTTTTTGGTAGCTTCAAAGTAAACTGTCTGGGTCTGAAATGAAGATAACACTTTCTTCTTGAGGGGAGGAAGAAGGAAAAGGTTAACACACATTTTATTCTGCATGCATTTCTAGTCTAGTGTCTCATCTCTGCCTTTAGTAAAGAGCAGACCATCATAGAGGACAGTCTTTAGACTAGGTTCTCTTCCCCCCCCAACACACACATTTGGAAACAAGATGTGTACTGCCAACACTGCTTCAGGGACCCCCAACTAGATGGATGGAATGGGGCCTGAGCTTTGGTCTCTGGGTATCTTGTCATCTCAGACTAGTAATCGCACTTTTTTCCCCTCTTCCTTCTACCTCCACTGCCTTTTAGGCTGTAGAGGTGCTTGTGTGGCTTGTGGCACTGGATATGCCAAGCTGCCAATGGTCCTAATGCAGCTAAACAAGTCCTGTAGCTCTGACCAGAGCTAAGACCCCAGAATTGTCTGTACATCTAATCTTTGCTATCTTGAAAGAGGTCAGTACACAAAACAAAGGCCATTGCTCATCACAGAAGGATTTAAGCTTCACTGGGCCTCCCTATGAACACTGGCAGGGCCGAGACCAGGCTACCTCCCCCTCTCCCAGCAATTCTGGCTAAGGGCTGTAAAATAGATGCAGTTGCATCCCACTAAGTCGTCTTATAGACTTGGCATCATGGGAAGGGGAAGACCCTGCCTTGTAAGCTCACCTTTGTGTCCAAGGTATAATGGATCTCCAAGATGGGAGGGTGCTTGTGCAGGAGGGGATTCTTTCTAGAGCATGTGATTAGAGCCTGTGCTGGGAGATAAGCATATTGCTAATTCTGTCCCCTTCCAGTTGGAAACCTGCTGGCAAGTGCCTCTGAGTCCAGAATCTGCATAATCCCCCTCACCTTGGCACACGAGTCTTCTGCGCTGCTGCATCGGAACAGACCATGGCAGGTCGAGGTGGAGCTGCTCGACCGAATGGACCAGCTGCTGGAAATAAAATCTGCCAGTTCAAACTTGTTCTCTTGGGGGAGTCTGCAGTGGGGAAGTCAAGCCTTGTTCTGCGCTTTGTGAAGGGACAGTTCCACGAATACCAGGAAAGCACAATTGGAGGTGAGTGTGCTGGTTTCAGCTGCAAAAGCATAGCCCATGATATAAGAACCTAGAAAGCATCTTGAAGCAGCTGGCCAGTGGTTGAATTGGAGCTTGACTAGAACCTAGAGCTCCCTAGTCCTATTACTGCCCCTAATCTTGGACAAGCACTCCTGTGCTGACCCTTCCTGTCTGTAAAAGAGTGCAAGACTTGGCAGATGCTGGCTGAGGAGGGTTTCTTAATAGATGATCAAAGTATTTTTCATGCATGGGATAAGTGTCCCAAGCTTAAGCTGTTGGTAACCTTGAGTGTTAACTGCAGAGCATCCAGGCTCTGAAACCCCATAATTGCCAAAGTCAAGCCAGATAAACGATATGCATAAAACTTGTTTGGGAACTTAGTCCTGATAGTAATGTCCTTGTCATGCTTCCACTTCTTTATTTAATGCTTCTATGGCAACTTCAGCCTTTACCTGTGAAAAACAGCTAGGATAATGACTACATCTTCATCTTGACACAGTTCATCAGCTAAAGATGGGCCACTTCTCCCTGTAACCAGCTAGTGCCTTGTATCTGCAACAAGAGTTTCTTGGCTTCCCATCTAGGAACTCCTTGCCCTGCACTCATGGAGGGAATCTCAAATGGGACTTGTAGAGCTGCTGCTGTGCCTGGAAAATAAATAGCCCCTTGTGGCTTCCCCCATGTCCTCTCATTTGCCCTTCTACAGTTGGCTGCAGCTGTCTGCTCCAGCACCTCATTTAGGAGGGTTAGCATGCATGCATACAGGCCAAAAAGTTCTGGGGTGGAGAGAAGCCAGCTGTCATCCTCTTCCTGTTGGAAACCTGCCAGTAAGTACATCCAACTTCAAAACTGGCATAGTCCCCCTTGCCTCTGCACTGTAATAGGCAGCAGAAACAAGTCTGGCATAGTAGCCCTGTCCCTCTTTCCTACTGGGGTCAGGCTGTTCCACAGCTGTGGCTACCTCCTTTTTGTTAAGTAAAATTGAGAGATGAGGAAGTTCCCTTAAGTGCTGTCAGTTCTTTACCTGCCCCCTTGCCCTCCCAAGCAGTAATAAAACAGGCTTCTTTTTCAGGCATAAAAGTTGCCACAGTTGGCAAATTCTCTTGTCACTTTGGTCTTCTGAACCCTGGTGCCTCTCAACGTTCTCATTTGAGCTGAATAAAGTAGGTTTCATTAATCAGGCAGAAATGGCACGCTACCCTAGAAACAGTCCTTCTGCTACTTGAAACAGGTAAATGGCCCGGCACTGAGAATATTGGGTTAGGCTTCACTTTAGCCTGGCATAGCCTACTTTTGCAAATTGCACAGCACTCAAGGCTGGCACTGATGTTAACTTCCATGACATCCTTGTATAGGAGGGTGTTGTGCAGCTTGCTTAACGCCAGACTTGGCTGGCTGGCTTGGAAATCCTGCAGCTGTATATTGAATCTGAATGACCTGAAAGCAAAGTGGCCTTTTTCCATCTGCAAAGGCAAATTGGTGGCAGAATATCTCAAAGGGCTGCTGAAAATGGAGCTCCCTGGGGAATTGGAATGAATGTTAATAAGGCTGGAGAGCTTGTTCTGTAACTGTAGCAGTGATGCTGTTTGTCTGAAGGCTGTCTCATTGTGGCTGGATAAATGGGCCACTGACAAAGATGAGTTTTTTCTCTTGCAGCAATTACAAGGCTGAAACCTGGGAGGTAAAAGACATGCTGATGCTTGATATAGACCATTATTAATGGCTCTCTTTGAAGCTTCTAAAGTCCTTCTCTTTGGAAAGAGTTAAAACAAATAACATCTATCTAGACAGGGTAAATAAGTAGTGGATGTATGCAAAACCCCTTGGCAGGTGCCTTCACTTGGCTGTGTACATGCATAAGTACTAGCAAAACAACTTGTTCTACATGTACAGTTTTTAAAAGACTTTTTAAATCCATTTTTGGCCTCACACAGTCTCTTTTTTTTTTTTTTTTTTTTT